GTTCATGTTGAGGTCATAGATGGGCGACCTTTATTGTCTGGTAGTATCACCCATGAATCAAAACCTATAGAAGTAACGTTTAAAGACCATAGTAGTCATATTATTTTTAATATTATTAGAACCCCATCAAATCCTATTATTCTTGGTCTTTCTTGGTTGGAAAAACATAATCCATTGATAGATTGGAGGTTGCAGAAGATGACTTTTCCCACAAAACCACCCAAGAAAAAACCTAGTAAAAAACCTCGAAAAAAGAAATCTTTATTCATTGAAGCAAGAGCGTTTATAAGATCATCTAAGGTAGGCACTCCATTTGTCATTTATGCGGCTCCAAATACCGAGGAGAAGATCTCAACAGCAAGTATACCGGAGCAATATAAAGATTTTGAAGACGTGTTTCAAAAGAAGAACGCCGACATACTACCGGAACACCGACCATATGATTGTGCCATAGACTTGGAAGAAGGAGTACAACCACCTTTTGGCCCAATCTACAATCTATCGCAAACGGAGTTGGCAGAGTTACGAAAGTACATCGACGAGAATCTAGCAAAGAACTTCATTCGTCATTCAAAATCGTCAGCTGGAGCACCCATCTTATTTGTGAAGAAGAAAGATGGATCATTACGGATGTGTGTGGACTATCGAGGCCTCAACAAGGTAACAAAGAAAAATCGTTACCCATTACCCTTGATTTCTAGTCTCTTAGAACAACTTGGACGTGCGAAGATCTTTACAAAAATTGATCTAAGGGGAGCTTATAATCTCGTACGAATCAAGGAAGGAGATGAGTGGAAGACAGCATTCCGTGCAAGGTATGGTCATTTCGAATATAATGTCATGCCTTTTGGTCTTACCAAGGCTCTAGCGGTTTTCCAACATATGATGAATGACATCTTTCGAGAACACCTCGACGATTTTGTTGTCATCTACTTGGACGGTATTCTAATATTCTCTAAAAACGAGGAAGAGCATGAGGAGCATGTTCGTTTGGTCTTGGAGAAACTACGCAAGCGAGGACTATATGCCAAATTAGAAAAGTGTTTATTTCACCAGACGGAGATGGAATTTTTGGGGTTCATTACGACTACAGAAGGTTTGAAGATGGACCCCAAGAAAGTAGAAGCAATCATGTCTTGAGAGGTTCCGAAGACGGTTAGAGACGTACAATGCTTTCTTGGTTTTGCTAACTTCTATCGGATCTTCATCAAGAATTATTCTCAAGTTGCTGCTCCTCTCACTCGATTAACATGCAAGGATAAGTTGGAATGGGGACCTTTGGCGGAGAAGGCGTTTCAAGATTTGAAGACAGCATTTACTACAGCTCCAATTTTGGTACATCCAGACTTTACAAAGGCCTTCTATTTAGAAACTGATGCTTCAAATTTTGCTTTGGGAGCTGTACTTTTGCAAATGAGTGAAGATAAGAAGCTCCATCCAGTTGCATTCTATTCTCGGAAGTTCTCTGCTGCTGAAATCAATTATGAGATCCACGATAAGGAACTTCTTGCTATAGTGGATTCTTTCGAAGAATGGCATCACTTTCTTGAAGGAGCTGCACATCCAGTAACCGTATATACGCATCAGAAGAATTTGGAGTATTTCATCACGGCTCGAGTTTTAAATCGGCGTCAAGCTCGGTGGAATATGTCGCTATCTAGATTCGATTTTGGTATCACTTATCGACCTAGAAGGCAGCAAGGACTATCCGATGCTTTATCAAGGAGATCGTATCTTGCACCAAAGGCTGGAGAAGCAGTGTTTGATCAACAATATACAACGTTATTGAAGCCAGAGAGATTTCAACTTTGTGCTACTATTGTATCATTTGATGCTGACTTCCTAAACCAGGTACGTGCTATGATCATTAAAGATTCAGTAGCCATTGATATCAAGCAACGTACCAATGACGAAAAGTTCAAGGTGGAGGGAGATCTTTTATACTTTGAAGAGCGATTGTACATTCCAAAAGGACTAGCACGACTCCGAGTTCTTCAATCTCGCCATGATTTTCCAGCTGCGGGATATTTTGGATTCAACAAGACCTTGGAGCTTATTTCCCGAGATTTTTAGTGGCCCCAAATGTGGAAGGATGTGAAAGATTTTGTCCTCTCTTGTGACATCTGTTCAAGATCTAAGAATCCTCGGCATCGCCCTTATGGACTTCTACAGCCATTGCCAATTCCACGTCGACCATGGTCTTCAATTTCTATGGACTTCATCACGGACTTGCCATCATCAAACTCATTTGACAACATCTTTGTCGTGGTAGATCGGCTTACGAAGATGGCACACTTTGTTCCTTGTAAGAAGACATTGTCCAATGAAGTCACAACAAGACTCTTTCTCGATAATGTGTATCGATATCATGGACTACCAGATGATATCATATCAGATCGAGGTACCCAATTCATGTCAAAGTTTTAGAGATCTCTCTTTGGGATATTGAAGGTGGATATCAAGCTTTCTTCAGCTTTTCATCTTCAAACTGATGGCCAAACGGAACGGGTGAACCAAGTCTTGAAGCAGTACTTACGATGCAGCATCAACTATCAGCAAGACGATTGGACTGCATATCTACCGCTAGTCGAGTTTGCATATAACAACACCCTCCATGCGTCGACTCAACAAACACCATTCTTTTCCAACTATGGGTATCATCCGAAGCTTGATTTGTTGAATCCTTCAACAAATAACAATCCAGCAGCTGAAGGATTTGCGAAGCAACTATCAGAGCTTCAAACTATGTTGAAGCTTCAATTACAATCCGCTCAAGAATCCTATAAGACGTCTGTAGATAGATTTTGGAATCCAGCACCTACTTTCAAAGTTGGAGACAAAGCCTGGCTTCTTCGACAAAATATCAAGACCAAGCGACCATGTGATAAGTTGGACTATCGTAGATTGGGACCATTTATCATCCAGAAGCAAATTAATCCAGTGGCATACTGGCTGGAGTTACCGGCTTCTATGAAGGTACATCTAGTCTTTCATGTTTCTCTGTTGGAACCTTATGAAAGTCATCTTTTCGTGGAAGAGTGCAATGTCCGCCATCTAGTATTGAAATTGAGAACCACGAAGAATACAAGGTTGAAAAGGTATTGGATTCACGGCGAAGGTGGGGAAAGTTAGAATATCTTGTTCATTGATGCGGCTATGACATTAATGAGCGAACGTGGGAGCCAGCTGAAAATCTTGCGAATGCGCCACAAAAGATACAGGAGTTTCATCAACGACATCCCGATAAACCTAAATCAATTCGATGATAGCTTCTTTCTGAAGCTTGTTCTCCCAACAATATAAGAAAAGGGGAGAGCACCAACAAAATTCATAGTTGATGTAGTTATTTTCTCCAAGATAGATCGTAGTTTGGTCTTTTGATATGGATAGCCAAGAGATAGATACTATGCCAGTCAGAGTATCGCAACCGAGTAGCTCACGAAGGCGACCCTGAGATGAAGAACTACATGTACCACGACGACAACGGAGGATACCGAGTAACCGATCACTGGTGATCGTATTTGAGATCGAGCCTGCTTACGATGGTCAACCAGAAGGCATGTTTGCAGGACAATTTCACAATGAGGACACGGAAGTTCATGCTTGGTCAGAAGTCGAAGGCGTGGGCCACTATCGTTGGCTTCAAGGGTCGATGAACCACTTACCTTGTGAACAACAGTTGGAGTTCATAGCAGAAGTTATGCGACAGATCTTCATTTTCTTGCGTTGGTACTGATCAACAACATTGCTTCTCAGAGACCTCGAAGCTAAAGGAGGAGGTGATATTAGGGACATATTCCTTAGAACTTTCTAGAGAGAAGTTTCTAGAACCTTCTAGAAAACAAGCCTTTGGAACCTTCTAGAAGAGAAGCCTCTGGAATCTTTTAGAGAGAAGTTTCTAGAAGCTTCTAGAAAGGAAGTCTCTGGAACCTTCTAGAAGAGAAGTTTCTAGAAGCTTTTAGAAAGAAATCTCCTGGAACTTTCTAGAAGCTTCCTAGTTAATAGAAGTAGCTCGAGAAGTTTCCTAAGTAGGAGTATATATAGGGATCGAGGCTGAAGAGTTCTTCAGTCTCGACAACACATCTCTTGGAGTTCTAGCTCATCTTTCTGGTATTGTTCTTGTATTCATCTGTTTAATCTAGTTCTGTCACTTCTTCTTGAACTTCTTGTTAGATTTCAAGTCTGTATTTTGTGTCCGTGACATGTAGATATTTATTGCTTTGTATAATTTCTATTAAAATATGTGGAAACTTTAAGTTTATTTATTTATTTTAAAAGACATATATTAACCTATATGAAAGGATTTTTAATTATAAATAAAAATCAATATTTCAATAAGTTAATTTTTTGAAGTTTAAATTTTAAAAAATATATCTTATTGTTACTTTTTATTTATGTAATAACAAAAATAATAATAAATTATTTGAAATAAATCAAACTTGAATAATAAGTTATTTTTGGACCGACCTAAGTCCATGAATAAGATAAATATCTAACATGGATATTCATCCAAAGGACACCCTATGTTGGTACAAGATCACAACTCGTCTTTGTCTCACCCTTGGAAAACTTTTAATTTTGAAATTTTAATTACTTCATTTCCTAAAACTCATTGTTAAAATTTTTCTAATTTTTATTCGCTTCCTGTAATGATTTAAATTGTTGTTGAACAATGTGGGTATTGTCAAGTTTTATAGTGTTTGTTTCTTGTGACATTCTTGAAGACAATTATCTTGTCATATGGTAAAAAGTTACATTAATGTAATTTAATCTAAAACTTACGATACAAGCACGTAATCTTTATCCTCATCAGCAATAGCCGTCCATGAGGACGTGGAAACAACGGACGAACGGTGGCGCGTCGTCGAGGATGACGACTCAACGAAGCTCCGTCGAGATCTGGACGGGGCTGCAATCCCCTATCCATTGATCCAGTATCAGAAGCGCAGGATCGACAAAGCGGGGCCGCGCGTTGAATTCATACCAATCGATGACTGGGTCGGCTTATTTGGAGCAGCAGCCTTCAATCCTTTCAGAACAATCCGCTGTCCTTCTCTGTATTTGCCAGGCTCTCTCTGTGTTACTACCAGATTCAAGCCTGCAGGGGGGCTTTTGTACGCCTTGCGAGCTTCTGGGTAGTTCCATTTGTGAGGTTTTTGTGTTGTATCTGGAGATTGTTCGTCTCGGCTCCTCGCCATGGCTGCCATGGCTGCAACTACTGCTGTGGGCCAAGCTGTGGCCCTCAGGAAGGCGGAGAGCTCGAAAGCTTCCCCTTTGTTGCGCGAGGGTGATGCGAGCGCTTTCTTTGGAACTCACAACCTGAATTTGTTGAAAGGACAAGGGGTGTCACGGTTGCGCTGCAACGTAGGAGGCTCACCTTGTTGTTGTTGTTGTTGTTGTTGAGTTTCGTTTTTTCAAGTTTTATTCGTCAACTGGCTTGCCATTGGGGTTGTGCAAGTCGATGTGTCTTTTCGTGTATTTTTCGTAAGGTGTTGCGGGTGTGCTGCGGATTGAGACTTATTGAATATGGTCGGGGTTTGGGTGCAGACGAAGAGCAGAATTGTGACGTCCGCGGTTCCCGACCAAGCTGGGGAGTATCCCGCTGAGAAGCCACCGACTCCTCTTTTGGATACCATCAACTATCCCATTCACATGAAGAACCTCACCGTGCGAGTATGTGTAGCTCACTGGGATTAGTGTTGACCTGTACAGAAAGAATTTGGTATTTGCGTATCAACTTCTGCGTTATTGATTCCGATGCGGTCAGTATGTGCCAGTTTTGCGAGAGGTATTGGCCATTTCGGCACTCTTAAATGTGTGCAGCCGCCGCACTTCTGGGTATCTATTGAATCATTTCACTTTATTATTTCTATTTATTTTTTCGTCCACGTTCATTTTCAGGAGCTGAAGCAACTCGCTGATGAAGTACGAGCAGAGACTATCCACACAGTGTCGAAGACTGGGGGGCATTTGGGATCCAGCTTGGGCGTGGTGGAGCTTACTGTGGCTCTTCATCATGTCTTTAATTGCCCAGAAGATAAGTTTTTGTGGGATGTGGGTCATCAGGTTTGTTCTTCTTCCCATCTATGTAATACAAGGGGTTCTGAGTATTTGTCTCTCAATTACATCACAGCTAGCCGCGTTATCTTCTGTCTCCGTCATATTTTTCAGCTACAACACGGGAATGCTCCCGCAACAAAGCATACACACTTGAGGCTTCACTTAGTGTTCTTCGTAGTAGGTTAGTTTTTTGCTATTATTTTTCCCTCAGTGAAATCTCTCATCAGTTTATTGGATCATGAAGATATTAGGAGTAACTATTCATCAGATTATTTGAAATCGTCTAGTAAAGAACGGTTTCGTTTGAAATCAGTTGATGACTCTTTTTAACATGCGGTACGCAGTTTTACCTCTATGACTGATAGACTCTGTCATCGGCGATTGGTGTTTTGTCTTTAAGGGTCAATGTGTCACTGTGATTGATACAGGCTTACCCGCACAAAATCTTGACCGGGAGAAGAGATAGGATGCATACATTGAGGCAAACCGACGGGCTTTCAGGTTTTGTGAAAAGGGCAGAGAGTGAGTATGATGCGTTTGGAGCTGGTCACAGTTCTACCAGTATCTCTGCTGGTCTAGGTGGGTCTTTTCTTATAAGATTATGCTTGTTGACTCGAATGTGATGACAGAGCATTGACTCAGGTTGCTTTCTGGGTCGCGTATGTTCTCACGATACTTTCGTTCTGGCTCTGATTTCGTCGCATGACTCTGTAAATGACATAACCCATTGGTACTATTGTCTATTTCAGGAATGGCTGTTGGACGAGACTTAAAGGGCAAGAAGAATAACGTCATTGCCGTAATCGGTGATGGAGCAATGACAGCCGGGCAGGCTTACGAGGCTATGAACAATGCTGGTTATCTCGACTGCAACATGATTGTCATCCTCAACGACAACAAACAAGTATCTCTGCCTACAGCTACTCTTGATGGCCCTGCCCCTCCCGTTGGTGCTTTAAGTAGTGCACTCAGCCGGCTTCAGTCAAGCAGGCCACTTCGTGAGCTCCGTGAGGTTGCCAAGGTAGGTTTATATACTGTAAGCCGTGTCCGTGCTACCTTTGTAGCATTACAGAGGACTACTTCAACTCGAAGGATTATGCTAATAACTTTGTGTCTACTTTATTTTTCGATCCGATAACGTTTTCTTTGTATACGTTGTTCCAGGGTGTCACAAAGCAACTTGGAGGTCCAGCACATGTACTGGCTTCTAAGGTGGATGAGTACGCTCGAGGTATGATCAGTGGGTCTGGGTCCACTCTCTTCGAGGAGCTTGGACTCTATTATATTGGCCCTGTTGATGGCCATAACATGGACGATTTGGTGACTATTCTGCGAGAGGTAAAAAATACGTCTACAACTGGACCTGTGCTCATTCACCTTGTGACTGAGAAAGGGCGAGGTTATCCTTATGCTGAAAGAGCAGCTGACAAGTACCACGGTTAGACTCTACCTTAGCCTTTCTGTAAATTTGCTGTTAGATAATGTGAACAGTTCATTGCTAAGCGTCTGCGGTCCACTTCTGGTTTAGAAACAGATATGCTGATAAGTATCTAGATGCACACGTCCCTACACTTGAAAATGTGTTCTTCTCCAACTTTTTGCTGTATATGGGATGGAATGCTTGAAACGTCCCAGCTCTTTCCGTTAACCTTTTTACTTTTCTCTCTTTACAAGATATTTTTGTTTGATGTTCTTTTGCAGGCGTTGTCAAGTTCGACCCCGCAACCGGAAAGCAGAATAAAGTGAAAGCTGCAACGCAAGCCTACACCACTTATTTTGCTGAGGCCTTGATTGCTGAGGCAGAGGTTGACAAGGATATTATCGGAATTCATGCAGCTATGGGAGGGGGAACGGGCATGAACATGTTTGCAAAGCGCTTTCCAGAAAGATGCTTCGACGTTGGAATTGCTGAACAACATGCTGTGACTTTTGCTGCGGGACTTGCTTGTGAAGGACTGAAGCCTTTTTGTAGTATCTATTCCTCCTTCCTTCAAAGAGGATATGACCAGGTTGTACACGATGTAGATCTGCAGAAATTGCCAGTCCGATTTGCAATGGATCGTGCTGGTCTTGTTGGAGCTGATGGGCCAACTCACTGTGGAGCGTTCGATGTAACCTACATGGCTTGTCTACCTAATATGGTAGTCATGGCTCCTGCTGACGAAGCGGAACTTTTCCACATGGTGGCCACTGCTGCTCAAATTGATGATCGACCTAGTTGTTTCAGGTATCCAAGGGGTAACGGAATCGGTGCCCAGTTGCCTGAGAATAACAAGGGGATCCCCGTCGAGGTATGTATCATGTATTTAATGCTGATTCATTCCTGGATGATTAGGGATTTTTAACGTAGATATGAAGTTGTTTCCCTTCCCTCTGTGTTTTTTCACATCAGCTTGTAACCGTCCTGTTTTTTAAGTCTGGTTAGAATTTTTTCTTACTTGGGCGCAGATTGGTAAAGGAAGAATTCTATTAGAAGGTACGGAAGTGGCACTTTTGGGTTATGGCACCATGGTCCAGAATTGTCTGGCTGCTCGCGCATTACTTGCCGACTTGGGTGTTGCGGCGACTGTTGCTGATGCTAGGTTCTGCAAGCCCCTTGACCGAGATCTTATTCGTCAACTTGCGAAGAACCACCAAGTGATTATAACCGTGGAGGAGGGTTCTATTGGAGGTTTCGGTTCTCATGTTGCCCAATTCATGGCTTTGGATGGGCTTCTGGATGGCAAGCTGAAGGCAAGTTTATTGTTTAGTTGAATTTTATTTTTTAACATATTTGTGAAAGTCCTTGTGGACATGATTGGGCTACTTATGATTGTCACTCTAGTAAATCAGAGTGTTTGATTTGTAATGTTTTATTTTCTGCGCTTTAACCCACTGTTCGTGGTGAATATTTTTGGTTGTTCTCTGCGACCCTCATAATCTACGCCACTTTCAACTGATTTTTATTTGCCTTGTCTTGTTTTTATATTCAGTGGAGACCACTTGTGCTTCCTGATCGCTACATCGAGCATGGGGCCCCCAAGGATCAGTACGCTGAAGCGGGTTTAACTGCTGGTCATATTGCAGCTACTGCGCTGAATGTTCTCGGGAAAACTAGAGAAGCGCTGCAAGTTATGACTTAAGATCTTAATTTCAGATTTGTTAAATGTGTTGTGGATCATGACCCAGTCGAGTATAGTTCTTCCATGTACCAATGCGTTGTTCAGGTTGTGTGTCCTGTCACAGTTTCTCAGCATGCCATTTAATTAGCATATTCTAATCAACTACTCATTGCCTTCAGCTCAAATGGCACCTTGGGACCTCCACCATTTTGCAGAGTGTAGGTAAACTTTTGGATAGGCTTTAAATGAAATCTGAAAGGTTAGGAATAGGTGCTGCTGCTCTGAAATCGGAGCAGTCGGATGTTCTGTGGGGAGTTAGAGGCCTGTTCCGTTAGGGAGGATAATTTTCCCTTCAGTACGGTGCATCGAACTTAGACATGGCAAATTTTGTACCCTACACACTCTTGTAAATTATTCGTGGTGATCACCTCATTAATAAGTGAAATGGGACCGAACTTGACCCTTCACTTTTTCAATCTGATGTTTTAGTTTCTAAATCTTCCGTAGTTTTTGTTAACGTTGGTGCTCCTCGGGATTGGCAGCTACTCTTCATGTCGTATGACGTGGTTATCGTTTCAGATATGATTGCTGTATCAGAGAAATGGCTGTGTGTTGAGAGAAGCAGGTTGCTGTACACCATTCACAATCTCATTATCAGGGTGCAGATATTCTTAGGCGTTTTGTTTACATGAATATTGCTTCACTTGAAGAGTGCGGCTTTGTCTATGTCACTGCGTCGTCTGTTGTAGTTTAGATGGTTGTTTGGTTACGCCTTACAAATTTCTTATTTCTTCTGTGTCAGCATAGCGTCACTATACCTGTTCAGTTGCTCATCCAATCCACAACTGCATTGATGTGCTTGTCATGACCATAGCATCAACACAGATTTGAGTACCAAATGCTTATGTCTGAAAATGAAGGTGTGTACCATGTACTTCAGTGGATGGTAAGTACTACTCGCAAATGTTGCAAAGTTTGTCTTTGAACTCTATCTCCCTTAATCATGATTCTGCAAGCAATTTAACAAGGTAGAAATGACGGGCCAGAAATGATGGTTGGCATTCGAAGTTTTCTAAATTAAGAGAAATTATGTTTTTCGTTTCATGCTGGGAAAATTACTCAGAAATATGTTGAAAATTGTAACCACCAAGAATTAATTCTCAACTTGGGAATTGAGATGAATAATTGGTGTTAATCCAAACGCATGATTTGGACATGTCTAAAAATACATCTACCATGTATGCACAAGTTGGTAGGTTAAGGATGATGACTAGAGCTCAAGAAAAGATATTGCAATCTAAGGATATAGTTGCTGAAAGCAGCTTCTCAAAACAAACTGACAATATTTGGAAAATTTACATGTATGGCAAACACCATTAAAATAAAATTCATTCTGGTTCAGTTTATAAAACATATTAAAAAATTGCAATCTAATATACAAATAAGCCAATATTTCACAAAATTTATTTGTAGATGAAAATAAGCATATGATATTTATCATTGATCTATTGAAGCTTATATTATCTAATTTAGAAGAAATAAAATTACATATCCAACTTTAAATTATTCAAAATTATGTGACATAACATTATTAATTTGGTAGAAAAAAAAATTACAAACAAGACTATCACATACTAACTTCAATAATAATATATGTATATATATGTATATATATAAATCCTAATAAAATAATAATTTCAGATCAAGTAATAAACATATGTCTTATCTTATAATTATCATGTCTAAAGACTAAATAATTTGTAGCTTTAATGCAGAAGGTGAGAAGTTGAAAAACTATAATTGTTCAAATTTTTAATGGAAGAAAATTCACATACTTAACTTTATTGGTTTTATGAACAAAAAAGTTGATCCAAATTTTAATGCATATGAAAGACAAAAGCTCATTATTTGAATTGAAACATTCATCTTTAGACAAAAAATTGGTTTATTGAAAAAATGTTAAATTTCAAGAAAAGAAATAAAATTCAATTTTATAAAAAAAGAATAAAAATATATTATTTTAAATAAAAGATTTTAATTTCTAAAAAAACAAAGAAATTAAGAAAATTATCATTTTGTAGAAAAAAAAGATTTTAAAAAATTAAAAATTAAATATACATATATATATATATATATATATATATATATATATTATCACAAATAGAACTAATGCTATTAATTACCTAAATAAGAAGAGTTGAATAGAAGTAAATAAAAGTAGATAAATTATTTAATATCTTATAAAGAAGCTTATTAGAAGCTTTATAGAATTGGATTTGATTTTATACATATTTGTAGGTGATTAGTAGAGTAACAATTTAATAAAAAAATTGGCCATATGTTGCACTTATTGGCCACATGTGATATAAGTGGACCATATAGTATACAAATAGAAAACTTGTCATGTAAGTATCATAGACATACATATTTACTCCAATAATCATCTATATGAGGTAGAAGTAGGAGAAAGTAGATTAATTTCATAATATCTTCTAGAGAAGCTTCCTAAAAGCTTCATAGATGCGGCTTTGACTTTATGCATATTGGTAGATTAGAAACTTAATCAAGAAGTTAGCCACATATTACAAATATTAGTAGCTTGTGGAAAAAGCTTACTATATGGTACACATATAAAAAACTTGCCTTATAAGTTAAGATATATGTTTTATAATTTAAACATCTGTTGAAGGTCCTATAGAATGTTGCTACGTAGCTCCTAGTTAGATAGTATATATAGAAACAAGAGTGAAGCCTTTTTTACTCTTCTCAACTACTTTCTTGCTTCTAGTCTAATTTTAAGAGTCTTTAATTTTCTATCCTTTGGCAATAGCCATTTAAGTTTTTTATTAAATATATTTATTTTATTATTTCTAGTTTGTCATCTTTTTTTGATTCATTTCTCATTTGTTTATGTATCTTCTTTGAATTTTTATACTTGATACATTGATAAGATTCCTAACTCATTGTTCTTGTCTTGTTTTTAAAAGTGAGTGGATTATTCTATTTCTATTGTTATGTTTTAAAGATTGCAGACTATCTACCTTGAAATAATTTTTATTTTTTAACATTAATATTTTCTTTAAAGAGAGTAGATTATCTTTCTTTTTAAAAAATTTCATTTGATATTAGAGGTTGTAAATTAATCTCTTCTAATTTGACTTATGGATTTATTAAGTTGTTTGAAATGAAAGGAAAAATCATAGAGGCTATTCTTGGTAGAATTGAGAATAGATTTGTAACTATTATAGATCTTTATGAGCTTGTCAACACTCTTAAGATAGAAATTTCACACATGACTAACACCAATTAGGGAAGCACTATTTCTACACCAATAGTAGAAGTATAGAGTCTATGCCAAAAAGTTATAAAGTTGAAGAAAGCAAGTAGATTGATCTCACAACCAAATTTAAGAAGTCTTCCTTTTATAAGAATGAGAGAGGTAAGGATTAATATGCTTACAAAGTTTGATGGAATAAGATCAAAATTTCAAGGATTTTTGCAATAAATCAAGTCCTATGTAAGATTGTATCCTTTCTAATATCCTAATGGATTTATTCAAGTTAGATTCATAAGCATACTATTATTTGGAAGTGCTTTCTTTTGATTTGCATCTTTGGTGGAAAAAGATTCATAGCTCTTTTATAGTTTTAATTTACTTCTAAAAGTATTTAAGGCTATATTTGGAGAAAATAATCAAGAAAAGTAGCATTAATCAAACACTTATCTTTGTCACAAGAATCACAATCAGCTACTATATATGCTATTAAATTCTAAAATCTTGCTTGTGATATGGATTGAAATAACAAAGCTTTTAAAGATAATATCAAAGATTTATTATTGATAATATCAAAAATAGATTTTAAAAAAAAAATTATTGTTCAAGCAATTACATGTGATAATTGATTATTTGAAAGACATTAAGAACAAAGATTTGCTTAGAGAAGAATAAATCAAGTAATGATAGTACTTCCTAAGTTTTCAAAAACTTATTTGTTAAAGCCAAAACCAATACAACTTGATACAATACATTTTAAATCTCTCATTAAGCAAATAAAGATTCAATGTCATGAAGAAAGTTTATGCCTATATTGTGGAGAAGTTAGGCACATTATTTAACATCGTCCAAAAAAACAAGGCAATCAAAAAATGAAGAGTAAGGTTGCCAAAGAAGACAATGTGTTAAAAAATAAGTTTTCTAACTATAATAAGAACTATGCGGTTAGAAGTAAGTATAATAACTATTAAAGGTCCTATTCTCTCTTCAAAGTTTTAACCTTATTATATAATAGATATATATTTAGGACCTATAATTCACAAAGTCTTTATATTGATAGATTTAGTATCCCCAATTTGTTTTATAGATGAAGACTTTATCAAAAAATAAGAAATATTTTTAGTCAAGAAAACTAAACCAATTTATGTAGAAGTTATAGATGGTCATTTCTTGTCTTTTGAAAATGCTATCTATGAGATCATGTCAACGATATGAATCTCCAGGAAAGAAAATCCTTAATATACTCATGTATCACTAAAAGGAGCTAGAAAGTCATTCAAAGATGATATAATATTGAACTAGAATGGCTATTGCCAAAAACAAAAACACTAGAAAGTCTTGGAATAAGACTAAAAACTAAAAAGGCATTTACAAGAGTAAAAGAGGCTTTACTCTTGCCTCCATATATACTCTCTAACTAAGATCTATGTAGCAATATTCTATAAGACTTCTAATATGTATTGACTTTGCTAGCCACATGTCTTAACTTGCAAGGTAAGTTATCTATGTATACACCACATAGTTAGCTTGTTCTACAAGCTACTATATGGAGTTAACTTGTTTCACAAGCTACCAATATGTGATTAATTTGTTGGCCAAGTTTCTAACCCACAAATACATCTAAAGTCAAAATCACATCTATGAAGCTTCTAAAAAGCTTCTCTATAAGACTTTATGAAATTAATCTATATTTATCTATTTCTACCTAATCATATAAATAACTATTGAGATAAATGTATATGTTCGTGACATTACCTTTCCTTCTAGGGACGAGTTCTATAAAGAGCAGTCATTATCTTCCATGGATCTTACAATTCTTCATCTTAATTTTGATAGATGTCGTTGATAAAAGGCTTCAACTCTCTTTGTTGCATTTGCGAGATTCTTTGATGGCTTCTATGTGCATTCACTATTATTATATTAACGCCAGTGAACAAGATATTTCAACCTATTTTGGTGCCACCTTGAATCTAAGACTTTTTCTACGTCAAACTCTTATTTATTATCCACTTCTATAGGAAGAGGTGGCATTTGTCTTCTTTCTAAAATATTCATTGTCTTATATGATTCAAGAAGGGACACGTGAAATACAAGGTGGATCTTCATAGACTCTACTAGATATAATTGATAAGAAATAAGATTGATTTGTTCACAAATAGAATAAGGTCTCAACCTACAATAATCTAATTTATCATTAAAAAA